AAAAAAAAACAAGGAACTGGATATGCTTATCTCCATATTTGATTTATTAATATTTAGATTTAAATCAAATCTTATCTGTCAGATTCAGATCGAGTATAGTTGAGTGGGGGAAGAGGAAAAAAAGGGTTTTAGCTTTTGGGATGCTTGTTTTGATGTAAGCCAAGGCAAGTATTGGGATGCTTGGGTCAGATTGTGGTTTATCAAATCATAAATGGATTGAATTTGTATTCAAATTCTGACAGATGGATACCATTGCAGCCCTGTCCTTTGCCAGTTACCCTTCAACCTTTTAGTGCAATAGAAATGGAGATACATGCGTTAGGAAACCTAAGATTGAGGTTATTGTTGATTCAGGGAGAGGACTTTCTAATCCATTCTACTAACATTCTTGATTGCAGTTTTGTATTGTATGGTATGCTAATCTTTGAGCATTTGCTTGGTGGTTTCATGGTGCAGTCTCCCTTCATAAATAGGTACTATGGGAAGGTCCATGTAATTCTTTGATGGACCTCTTCAAGTAGTAGTAGATATCAACTTCAGAAATTCTCTTCCAAGAGATTGTCTTGCTTTTCAGCTGTCAAAAAAATTGAGCAGAAGCTGAAAAATTTTGATGTTTGAGAAAGATTAGGTTGTGATCTTCATGTCGTTGATGACCTGATCCCGTGATCAAGCTGGGCATTGCAGGACGAAAGCTGTACCCTGTAATTCATTAGATAATTTTGTAGGAAATTCTGAAAGGCTTATAATTCTCGAGGCCATTGAGATTGAGTGTTCCAGAGCTTCTATTCCAAAATTCCCCCTTCAAGTGTTGTTTGTCAACCTTTCTTTCAACACTTTTTTTTTTTACTGTAAAAAGAGATAAAAAATACAAAGATCTCTAGGTTTACCAAAAAGATTACATACACTTGTCTATGATATTTCTTGTGTAACATGTGGGATGTGGCTGTTACGATAAATAATAATGGTCTACAGATATTTTTACTTCCAACCTCAAATTTGGGAATCTACCAGTATACAGTTTATATTTTCTACTTGATTTCATATATTTCATAACCGAATCTGAGGACTGAGATGTCACGAGTATGTACTTGTATAGTATTCGCTTTGGTGGTTGTCAAGTTTGTCATTTTGGATGGAGACTGGGTATTATGGATCTAGTATTTCTTAAATTTAGGAGGAGAACGAAGAGTTTCGGGTTATGCCAATCCTATGTTTGATTGGAGCTTTGATTGAACTGTATTTATGTTGGCATGGTTGGGCTGGAGTGGACGGTTGGACCATTGGAACCAAAAACTAGCTATTAAATTGGCACATTGGGGTGGCTATGGCATATGAGCCAAGCTTTTCATGAGTTATTCGATCTTGTCTTGTGAGGTTCATGAGGTTGATCAAGCTTTTAAATATGTATGAACTTATGAGCTTTTGACTCGAGCTGAATTTGAATTCAAGTCTTTAGCTCGAATCGAGCTTGAACTCGAGCCTCATAATGTTTTGGCGAATCAAGCTCGAATGACAAGATATCTGGCTCGGCTCAGCTCGGCTCGAATCCAACTGGCACAGCATGGTTTTATCCCGCATTGTAGCAGGCCATACTAACATGGCCCATGGGCCTCAAACACCTAGCCCAAATAGAACCGGGCCATGCTGGCCCGAAGCGGCATGATCCGTTATACACCTATAATATGAAGATGAAGGTTGTACAAAGAATCAGTTAAGTTTTTGGTGCTGGACACCTCAAAATTCTTGTAAGACTGAAAAGCTAGGTGTACTGAATGACCTTGCGTTTCCCATACTCACCACTGAGAGACGTGAAAAATGGAAATCAATTCATTTTCAAACCGGACCTTCACAAAGCCAGTAGTACACTAGAACCCCCAACTATCCACCTCCCAGAAAAATTAGGTAGTATAACTTAGAGGATGCTTGGGATAGTGGCCCCACAGAACGCATCTGAATTGTCCCCACAAGTTTATCTAACTGATTTCTTTTTGCAAGATTGCATCAATCTAAACAACGGAGGAATCTTGCATAAAACTTGTTAAACAACTCCTCTCTTCACCCTTTTTCCTAATGCCAAATTGCCAATGGTTGAAAAAATATTCAGAAAAAACATTCTCGCATCTCCGAAGTCATTTATCCCTGAACAGCAAACAGTAACAATAACTTTAAAGGATAATGGCATTCAAATAGGGGTGCAAGTCAGATTGGCCCGAGTTAGCAGTTTACACTGTTTCGGGCTTAGGTTTTGGATTGGGCCCCGTTTGATTTGTGGGAACAAGGGTCAGGAATTAGAATCGGAATGGACTATTCCAATTCCAAGTGTTTGGTTAGATGAAATCAGAATCCAATTCCCATTCCTGCTGGAATGACATCCCCAATCTGAGGGAATGGCCATTCCCTGCCCCTCCCTTGGGAATGAAATCCCATTCCTGCTTATTTCAATTCTAATTCCCATTCCTGCCTGAACCAAACAGACTATGGGAATGGATCATTCTGATTCTGATTCCATAGGATTTCAATTTTAATTCTGACTGCGAATAAAATGGACCCTTGATTTTTTTTTTCTTTTTTTGGATAAGTAGTTCTCAAGTCAAAATGCAAAGAGGGGCCATGCCTTATATAAGTTATAACCATGTGTTTCTGTTTGCAACAAATGATGGCAGACTACACGATGCCAACTACCCTTTGTTCTTTCTAGTTATTGACATGATCCAGAAACGCTAAATCTATAAATATAGAAGCAAACCATTTACAAACCCACTCCATTAATGCATATAAACAGTGACTGCATATATTCACATAACCTACAACAGTATCTAACCAGTTGTGAGAAGTGATCTTTCCAGTCATTGGGACTCCTAATAGCAAGAAGTCACCGGCATAGTCTGGTTTGAAGCTGAAGAACGTTGCATAAACAAATGTGCAATTGTAATAATCATGAATACACCAAACAGCATCCAGCTCACAACAATAACCTGGCATCATAGCATCTCTAATCCAGAGTAGAAAGATGACAGTCTTTGGGATCCACCAAGATTTAGATTCCTAAAAACAGAGGCTCAGTTTGGAAGAAGTACAAATACAAATATGTACAGTGCAAATACATAAAAAATAATACAAAATACAAGGTTTTGCACTCTACATATTTGTATTTGTACTCCTTCCAAACTAAGCCAGAAATAAAATCATGATATCATTTTCAAACCTCAAAGGAAATGTTGGGAGGCTTAATCTGAGGAACTGCCTACCACGGATGATATGACCTAGTCTCTCATCCTTTTAATGCAGCATGTTTTCATTGATTTGGTTAGCTCACATTCATGGACAAGTGAAACAACTCTAGGCAAGCCACAATCCAAAAGTTGCATATACACATAATGGTCCAATTGGGGAAGCTTCTCCTTGACATGCATTGGTAATTAATCAAATGTTCAGTATCGTCCAGTTGACATGATGGCAGCTACAGTTTACTGGTTGGGATAAAATGGCTTACTCAGCACATATAAAGTTCATTCTTAGACGAACAAGGTCACAGCATGCAGGGTGTTATACAATGCTATTATATAATGTTTTTAAGCAGTTCAAACTGCACTAACCTTGGGAGAGGAAGTACAGGATTCAGTGGCCTCCATGATCTGTTCATAGGAATAAACATAAGCACCATATACAAGAGAAGCCAACATGATAATCAGACCAGCTATGAGACAATCCACACACTTCTTGAGCAGCTCAGCAGCTCTGCACATCTTATGTCTTCCAACTGATTCTTAAATTTCTTGGCATTGAAGGATGCTTTTGAAATACCCATAGATAATTTAAACCTCTCTAAATGATTTGACTCAGAGTTGAGAGCCAGTTGTGATTTATTTAAACCTTTCATAATCAGACCTATCTCTAATGTCTTCAGGTCATTGAAATGGGCTTGCTCCATGACAGATTTTTCAAAGGTGCTAAGCATAGACTGATTAAATTGAGAACCCATTGTGCTTGAAGCAGCACAAGCTAGCTGGTAGTTTATTTGTCCATTGAGAGCAAGCTCCTGCTTCATAGAATCTGACATCACAGTCTCTTGTATTTCCTCAACATCAGAAAATAGTTTGTACGGAAGGATGGCTTCAGAATGACAATTTTTCATGTCACTGTAACAATTGCTTAAAGGATCTTGTTGCTTGTTAAAAGAAGCAGGGTGTACCATTTCAGGACTACAATTTTGCATACTTGAACCAGTTAAGTCATCTCTTTCTTTGTTGAGAGATGCTTCACTGAGCTACTGTAGGGTCCACAGGGTGCTCCGAAATTATCTGTCAAAGTTCCTAGCAAAACTGTCAAACTGTTTCTCAAAAATCTGCCCAAAGATGGTCCATACAATAAAAGCCATATGGTATAGCTTCAGCATCTAAAATGCTATGACACATCAAGTGTTTGACACTAAAAATGTAAAATTTAACTAAAAACCTAAGAACATGTGGATTATCCAGCAGTTAAATTCCCTTCCACCCCACCCCACCCCACCAAAAAGAAATGTCTACCAGAAAAAGTAGATGGATGAGTTAGCAGTTTAGGTTCTGGTTTTGCCTTACGTTGGCTAAGGATTCCTTCAATGCCAGGGTGAAAATCTGCAAGCATATTAATATATTCAAGTCAGTTGATATGCCGTACTTGTCAGATCAATAAAATTAACGAGTGCACAGTCATGGAAAAAGAAGTACAGAGAAACATAAGGTGGGAGTGGGAAGCAACCGTGACTTGCAGGCTTCATCTTTCAAAGCACCAATTATTTCAACAATCTGGATAGAGAACCTCCTGGATAGGCAGCTGAAAAGAACAGCAGCTAGGTGATACAAACCATCCAATCTGGTTGACCCTTGGTCAACAAAAATGTACATGACATCCACTAGAAATTGCACTAATCAAATCAATGTGATATATGCAGAGCAATCCAGCAGATCATAGTACACAAAATGCCCTTAATTGTTGGCCAAAGATGAACTTGTAGGAACCAAAAGCAATAAATACAGGTATTGAAATAGGGATCAAAAAGAGTACCTTTGAAAGGTGATCTACAGAAATCCTATCCCCTGCTGCATCATTAGTATCCAACACCTAAAACCAACATTAGTAATGTCCTCAGAATCAACAAAAATGACATTTATTGTGTGTGTGTGTGTGTGAGTGAGAGAGAGAGAGAGAGAGAGAGA